AGGTGTGAACTTTGGTGTTCACACCTCAACCGCTAGAAGAGGGCCTCACCCTCCCTGATTGAACTAATCTTGTTATCTCCAGACTGACTCTTGCCTGCATATTTATTTATACCTGCTTCTGGAAATTTCCATTACATGTGTCTGACGAACTGGGTATTCACCCACGAAAGCTTATGCTCCAATACATCTGTTAGTCTATAAGGTGCCACAGGACTCTTAGTCTGGATCTGTAAAAAGCAACAAACATTGCTACCCCTCTGATACTTGACTCCTTAAGGACATTGTAGAGCTGTGCAGAGAGGGGGGCCAGGCAGCTGGAAGCGAGTTCCTCTGGGCTGGCTTGGGGCACAGGGGGAGGGCCAGAGCCGTGGCTCTGGGCTCCCCTCCCCCCAAGATGGACTTGGCTGAATGTCACTGATTTCTGTGCTAACAAGTTCTGTTCTACACTGTGTTCCTGTCGACTAATAAACCTTCTGTTTTACCTGTTGACTGAGAGTCACGGAGTTGGGGTGCTGGGCCCTCTGGCTTCCTGCAGGAGTGGGCTGTGACTGGGGGGCCCCGACCCCAGCTGGCCCTCCCAGGTGGGATGTGATGAGGGTTCCCGACCACAACTGTCCCCTCCAGATGGGCTGTAATGGGGGAAAAGGTCCTGACCCCTTGTCCCCTACTGAGGTGAACTTTGGGCGGGAGGGTGCAGCCAAGAATAATACATATTAAGTATATTTAAGTTATAGACTGAAATATAAGTATTAATTAATGTTGGGTCATGGGGCCTACAAGTTGAGGCCTGTCACATTTTCTTAGCCATATTAGTCCTCAGGCCTTAGGAGGGTTGGCGTAAGTAGGTGACCCAGGAATAACCCTGTACCAGTGAAATTACAAGGTTACTGTAAAGAATGTGCCAGTGAGTGATGTTAGGGAAAATATACCACAGTGTACTTGTCTAGACCGCGAGGCACCCAATTGTAACATCATGAGAAATTCTGCAGGTTACCATGGGAACTAGTTTACAGAGATGCATAATGAGAGTAAGGGGAACTAAGGGATAGCCAATGAGAAATGAGGTGCCCCTAAATTAGTGGGATGTGGAAGTATGGATGAGGGAAAAGGGGTTGGAACCCTTATGCATATGTATGAGCCTTTGTGTGTGTAAGCATAAAAGGTGAGCCAAAGAAGTGGCGAGACGTTAGGATGGCAACCACTGGTGGTGGTGGTGGTAGTTGCTAGTCATAGGGCTAAACACTTCACACTTTTTCTCTGTCTGTATTTTAGTGTTTGTGGGATTGTTCATTTGCTTAGTGGACTTGTTAATGAAGGGACTTGTAATAAATTGCAGTTGTTTCTTCTGTGCTTCTAGCATCTTTTATTCTAATGATACTGATGATAATATTCCTGATGCTGTAGCCCTCAGGAGACCAAACCTTCATTGACCACTGTGGTCTAAGTGATTGATTAATATAAATTGATTAACCACCAGTCCATTAATAAGGCTACAAGATGCCCTGCCCACTCCCCAGTCAGAGCCCACCTCTAAAGGGCTCTGATTGGGGCGGTACTGCCTCCTGGTACTCCCTCTCCCTTCCTGGTTGCCCCCAAATGCCCATTCCTTTAGGGTCTGGCTTGAAGGAAGACTCCTCTCCCTCTACCTTGTAAGTGGGGAGTTGCCCGTCACAGCAGAGATTGCCTATGAGGATGGGAAGCACTGCCCACCTAAGTAGGTAAGTGATCAACCCACTGGTGCCCTCCTCCAGTGGGGTGTTATCCATCATGTGTGGTTCGGCCTCTGGCACTAACTGCCGCATACACTTAGAGAGGAAGCGGGGTACAGAGCTGAACATTCTTCTGAATTCCCTGCCTAATGAGAGAGCCCCCAAAATGGAGTAGCAGAGGAATTTCCCCATCCCCTGATATTAGTGTAGGAGATACAGATTTCCCTTTAAAGGGGTGAAGAGGGAGCTGGGGTGGGAGATGTACAAGCCAACAATTGCCTAGTTATCCCAGCTCTGGAAGTGAGTGGAAACTGGTTGTGTGCGTGTTGGGAGGTGTCCTCTTTTTTTTTTTTTTTTTTTTTTTTTTTGTGAATTTCTGAATTTCTCCATAGGAAGTGGGTTGGGTAATGTAAGAGAGACGTGTTTCCTTGGGTGGACTCTAGAAACAGAAAATAAACATGAATGTTATATGTATACCTTGAGGCTGCCTTTAGAAATGAGAATAAAGCTGGCAGAAGGAGAGGTGGAAAACCAGGTATTTAATTGGAAGAAGTCACAGGAAAGGCTCAACAAAAATGAGCGATGACGAAGTAGGTGCTGTTCAGGTGAAAGGAAAACTAAAAAGGGAGAAGATGTAGTCTATAAAATGTGCTAGGGTAAAAAATATGTAGAAATTAGGCTAAATATGGAGGAGTATGAAAAATAGAGCTTGTTAGTGTGAGTAAAAGTTAGAGATAAGTTGGAGATAGTAAGATGGGAAAATGGAAAGTAGCAAGGACATGACCTAGGGTTATGTTGCAGTTATAACTGGTTTTAGCAGCCATTTTTAATGGGTGTTTTTGAGAATTTGGAATGTTTTGTTAAAATGCTATCTATACTGATAGCATGGAAAGGAAATTGGTGCAGGTATTTATTTAAATAATCTGTAATGTAAAGAGCCAATAAAGAGGCGGCAGAATGTGAATATGGTAATAGGTTTAATGTTGATTAGTATTTTAATAAGTTACAAAAGGAGTAGTCTTGCTAACTTGGGGGAACTCCAATGAACACCAAAAACATACAATTAGGTTACCTGATTATAAAACTATACTTCATTTTGTTGTCAGTAGACTGATCAGCTCATACACCATTCCATCTTTGAATGTGAGTATAATTGTAGTACCTGCCTATATATCTTTTCTTATGGTTTTCTTATTTTCTTATGCATTTGATTATTTGTTTTATTATTCTAGGTTTATAGATTTTTATATTAGAGTATTTTTGGCTGTAACGCAAGGGACCTACAGGCCACATCCTGTATGCTGAGCTAAGGCAAAGTTACTGTACATATGTTTGAGACCTTTCACCTAGATAGGTGGTGATGAGCTAAACCGTACGGTCCATATATGGTTGCGACCTTTAACATAGATAAAGGATGCATTGAAGCAGGTTGGTATAGGGGAGCTACCAAGTTCATACGCTCTTTAAACTTAACAGGTACACCACAAAGAACTTGGAAATAACCAGGTAGGACAGAAATAACAAATGTGAGAATGAGCTAATGTCACTAATATATATCCGGGGTCGGCAACCTTTCAGAAGTGGGGTGCCGAGTCTTCATTTATTCACTCTAATTTAAGGTTTCGCATGCCAGTAATACTTTTTAACGTTTTTAGAAGGTCTCTTTCTATAAGTCTATAATATCTAACTAAACTATTGTTGTATGTAAAGTAAATAAGGTTTTTAAAATGTTTAAGAAGCTTCATTTAAAATTAAATTAAAATGCAGAGCCCCCCGGACCGGCGGCCAGGACCCGGGCAGTGTGAGTGCCACTGAAAACCAGCTTGCGTGCTGCCTTTGGCACGCGTGCCATAGGTTGCCTACCCCTATTATATATGTATGTCATCAGTACGTACAAACGTACCAGCCTATGGAGCAAGTGTACCCTGGCATTTTGTGGGTGAGGAAACTAAGTTTGGACATAGAAGGAAGGCTCAAGTGTTCAAGCTCGGTAAGAGGGGTGACCCACTATGCCAAGGAGGCTTCTTCGTTCTTCGTTAGTTTATTATCCTTTTGTTTATTAGTCTGTTAGTTCTTAATTGTAAGTTTTAAGTCAGTGAGTTAAGAAAACTCTGTTAGCTTCTTTAGTCTTCTATAGCTCTTAGCTCTTTAGCTTCTCCTAAGCTCTGCACCTCCCACTCAAGAATTGAGGAACCTGGACCTGAACTCTCTTGGCATACCAGAGGCAAAGCTGGTCCTTTGTCCCATACCAGGTTATCAAGGAAGGGTGTGAGTATAATAATCAAAAGCTTTATAGTGTATAATATCTCATGTATCTCTAGAACAATATCATTGCCTTTGTAACTCGGATTATTTTACCATTTGATTACTGTTTGATTACTATTCCATTTATCGCAATAAAAGTCTTTAAAGCTACATTTGTCTCCGTGTGAGCGTCCTTGTCGTACATCCCAAGTGTCCTTGCAAACTCTGTGTAGCCTGACTCTGGGACAAGAACCTTATTATCTTCTGATCAGATTAATTGGTGAGCCTATAACCCATATTATCTAAAATAAGAATATTACCTCCTTAAATCAGGCAACATTGTCTACCATCCATCTTGGGCATTGAGAAACCTGGACCATCAGACTCATTTGGCATGCCAGAGGCAGGGCTGGTCCTTTGTCTCTCACCACCAGGTCTTAAGGAAGGGTGTAAGTATGCGAATCTAAGAGCCTATACAAAGAATGATATCGCAGATATCCCCCATACTGGATTATTCCTGTCTGATTACGTGGCTCAGAGCTTTTCTGGCTTTATTATTGATCCTAATAAAAATCACTGCTTTGCTTTGACCTCCATGTGAGTGTCCTGGCTATACTCTTTGAGATTCCTGACAAGAAATTGAACTCATTGGTTTTAGTTCCGTGTAGCCTGATTCTGGGACAAGAACCTTAGTACCTCTGATCAACTGAACAAGTATGATTACCTATTAAAAGGATCAGGTAACATTATAATATTATATTATTTAACCTTTTTGTGTGTCGGTTTTCTTATTTAAAAATGGTATAATGCTATCTCACTGGAGAGGGAGGAAAGGTTTGAGGCTTCATTCAATATGCAAACTGCTCTATGATCCTTGGATGAAAGATGCTGTGAAAACATATACTATTTCTTTATGCAGTCTTTTGTGGGGTGTCTTATACTGATTCATGTCAACAGCTTCAAAGAAAACAGCATGCAGTGCTCACTGTATTCATGATTTAGACTCTATTAGTGCTGGCTAATATAACTGTTGAAATTAGACCTCTGACTTGTGAGCCCTCTCTATGTGGGGGATTGCTCATTAGCATGTCTGGCTTACTGGCTCTCATTCTCTAGCTGATGTTTGAGTAGCTTGAGCAGACTCACTCTGTTATAACCTTTAATAACGTTTATTTAAGTCAGAATAGCCAGGAGTGAAGGCCATGGAAGCCAGGTATCTTCGGACATTGGGCCACTCGCTCCAAGGGTGGATCCCTTGCTGCTGCGTCAGGAAGGACTAAAGTTAAGAGAAACAACAGAGGCAAAATATGTACGACACTTTTTTCCTTAAAGGTTAGGCAGCAGAATGCCCTAGATTTCAAAGTGACTAGTATTTCTAAAGTGGATCAGTCACAGGACAAGTGTAAGCGATCTTGGACCAAGTGAAAATCCAACACTTCACTTGCCCAGGGAGGAGAGGTGTACATCTCTTTTTCCAGAGAAGGACAGAGGGGACTGAGAAGGAAGTAGCTGAGATAGGAACAGGTGAGAGACATTCCTTTAGTTCACTTATGATGTTTTCTCTTTGCAGGCAAGTGGGATCCATCCTGTGACTGACTGACTGACTTTCTGGAAGAGTGAAGCACATTATAGGCTGATTAGAGGCTCAGCAAACACTGGTACCTGTTCTGCCCTTGCTTCTAGTGGCCAAGCAGAAGCAGTGAGGTCACTTAAATATAGAGACCAACGGAATCATGGAAGACAGCTCTCCACATTCCTTTGGGCTTGGTGTATATCATAATCATAAAGTGACTCTTGTTAATGATACAATCCCCAGGGCTAAAAGGCCCTTAGACTTGCTGGAGGAGGATGAGCCCCTGCAATCAGATGCTAAGAAACGGTGCCACTTAAGTAATTATTGTAGCACTCCATGTCCATCAAAGAAACTATCACTGTGCTCCCCAGATTCTGCCTGCTTCCTAGGCTCCTCTGGCTGTCTGGATGATACTGAGCTGGAGAACATTGTCATCAGAGTTAGTCTTCCAGAAGACAGTGTGGTAGCCCTTTCTGTGAATACAGCCAGATGTTTTGATGATAGTGAGCCAGATGACTCTTTGCTGGAACCCTCAGATGATGAACAAGGGAACTCTCCCTTCAATTACACTGAGGAAGAGTGTAGGGAAATGTTAGCAGACGATTGCTTAGGAGATGACCAGAACTCCGCTGGAGAGAGTGCTTTAGTGACTCAAGATGTATGGGGACAAAGTGAGAAGGAAGTGAGTAGCAACTGTAATTTGGCATCAGTCCCCCCTGAAGGCACAGAGACATCATTCAGGACCATAGATGAGTTAGTAAGTAACGAGTCTCTATCTCAGACTGGCTCTTCAGTTAATCCTGGATATTTTCAGATTCTTGAGGATGAAACAGCTAATTCCGAGGGTGAAGAATGCTTGAATGTGGACTGCTTGAAATCAAATCAAGTCACTTGTACACTTGACTGTGATCTTCAGGGGCCTCTAAATCTTTCCCCAACTGATGCAGATTCAATAGATCAGCCAAAAGGGGATGATGGCTTGGAGGAAACTGGTGAAAAAGCTTCACAAGTAATAAGAGATGACCATCTACAAAATGCAAGCAAGCAAAGTGTAGAGTATAATGAAATCAGTTCTAATAGCTTGGTTGTTGAAGAGTCCTTTGAGTGCCTGGCTTCTAAAGAGCACCACAGTGGGGGCCTGGATAGTGTGGAAAAGCTGCCATCAGAAATCAAAGAATCATCTCCCTTCTCTGATGCACACATTAAAACTTCTATGTACTCTCCTGACCCTGCCTGTAGTCAAAGTAAGGACAAAGTGGAGAATCCAGCACCTGTCCTGCTACTGCATCCGAAAACCTCTAATGTTGTCTTAAATCAGGACCCTTCCAGAGGAACAGACAATGGATTATCAGGGACCTTTGGCTCCCAAAAAGAAGATTTGAGCCAGCAATCCACATCTGTTGAAGAATCGTCAGACAATCTTAAAGTAACAACACACACCTCTGTCTCTTTACTCTTATAAAGCAGCCTTGCCTAAGTATTTTTAAAAGTATTTTGTTTAAAATGTTTAAAAGTGAAATGTTTTTGTCTTTCAACAAAGCCATAAGCTTGTGAAGCAGACCAAATGGACAGTAGGGTGGATGGGTCAGAAATGTTTTTATTTAAACATTATAATTCAGTTGTCAGTAGCGATATCAGGGTGCATACATGGGTTTGCAGCCTTGCACAGTAAGTAAGCAAGCTTTTCTATAGGAAAATAATGCATCTTAATGGACACAGGAGTGTCTTTTGTCAGGCTAATCCTCTTTCTCCTCCTCCTCTCCAGTTAAACTCTGTAGTGTTAGACCAGAACTGTGGGGAAGACCGTGCCTGTGGGAAGAAGCTAGGCAAAGTCATTCCTGTGCCACAGGTGGAAGAAAGGTAACATGTTCTGCATACTTTAGCTCAGCAGTGCTCACACTGGGCTGTGGAGCACTTGCTGGGGGTCTAGAGAGCTGGCTGCTCAC